CTATTATTTGGTTGGAACATTGTGTTTGTTGAAGTACAACGTCGTTCGGAACAAAGCTAAATTTTTTCTTCATAAGCGACGATATGTGAAAAAAACTTTGGAGAGTATGTTTTTTGTGAGTATCGAACAAAATGAACGTTTTTTCTTCTGTTTGCAAATTTTGCACCCGTAGCCACCATGATATACTCATGGCAACCGGTACTGTTGCGAAACGCGACACGTCAGAATAAACTCAGACGGCAGGTCAGAAACGTTCACAGCGTCGTCCAGCTGTCTCGGGGCTGCATAATCGCCCTTGACCAAGTGGCTCATCTCCTTAGTGGCTGAGTTGGAACCGTGTGAGGCGAACGTGATGACAAACGATGAGGTTGACGATGTCACTCATCGCAGAGCGAGGCGTTGCAACAGACGACGCATCACCTGTCGACCAGGTCACACAAATGCTTCTGTTTAAAGTTCTGACGTGGTACGCAGCACACGAAGCGTGTGACGTTCGTTTCCGTAACGGAGACGACGGTCGCCTCTGCCGCTGCTCATCCATCAGCGGCAGAGCCGTCATCGTCGCGCGTCAAAGCGGGCAAAAATGATTTGTCGACCGGCAAGCAATTCGAGCAATGTTCGACCTCGGACCGGCTTCTGCGTGCACTTCGAATCCAGACCACGGCTTGTTTATTTATGACCCAGCCGAGGCACGTGTCCGTGTGTTTTTGACAGCAACGGGACGAGGCGAAAAATAACCGCTCACAGGCTTCACGAGTTGCTGCCGTTGCCATGAATTCATAAACGTCGGCGCGGTTTACCGTATCCTCTGTGGTTTCCCTCTGATATCATCAAAATAGGTAAACGACGACCGAACCACTCTTTGCCAATGTCTTCAATAACCATTTTTTCGTTGGACGACAGAAGAGTGTCTAACCGAAATGTTGAGTGAGGTTTCGCATGTTGCTGAAGTCGTTTCTATTCACTATCATTATTTTGAAACATCAAGGGTTTTCCAATTTCAGTTTCTAAAGATTTCATGGAATTTCTTTCGATGACTCTCTCCTCGTTCCTCCGACTAAACAGGCAAATTTTGATTGAGGTTTCTTTTTGTTTGTTTGTTCGAGCAGTTACAAAAAATAAACTCCAAATAAAATATTTCCGTCAGCTCGGTGTACGTTCATGGAACACGACGAAATACTGCAGAAATTAATGTCAAGAATTGCATTAATCGATCTGGGTATTGTATAATCTAGTTTTATATTGGCTATGCAACAGTATTTAAAGGAAATAATAAATATTCAATAATCTTCATTATTTTCCTCTGTTTATATGACAGGTAGCATAATGTAGTCATCAGTGGGGATTAATACGTACTGTCTCATCCTTATTCTTCTGTCCGACTATGTAGCCAGGTAGTGTTCTTTTCTTAGACATAAATGCCTTAGAAGCATAGCGAGTTCTGTCATCGCCGGTTACCATTGCCTCCTTAGCCGAGCTTTCCAGGGCACAGGACAGGATCAGGTATATACACTCCACCGTGTTTCGCCCTGTCTTGCGATTCGGCACTTTGACCATTGTCCACTATTCGCGAGTGGAGCGCCGATGATCGAGTTTGGAGAGCAGGTGCCATGCCATGCTGGTTATGATTAAACGTAGTTGAGTTCCTTTTTGAGACGGGGGGGGGTTGCCAATAGGTTATGATTTGCTTTGCGGTCGGATTTCAAATCCTCAGCCCGGCGTAAAATTTTCCCTTAGTAGTTGTTGATGTCTGTGAAGATGAAATTTCCCTCGTTGTGCTGTGGTTCCATCAGTGCACAGACGGGAAACGGATCAAAGTACGGTGTTCTGGTGTAATCAAGAGAGAGTTTGTGACACTTATGACCTGTCTGGCCTTTCGGACAGTTGACGAGAAATCAGCATAAGGCGTTAACGGTAAATAAAATAATTGAAAGTTATATTGATCCCGTAACTCGGGACACAATAAGTTGTGAAAAGAAATTTTTTACCACTGAAGTGACCGTGTCGTTAAATCGAGATGGATTACGACTTAATGACTGTGCAACTTTAAAGTAGATAGCGTATCCTATTCCGTGGTAGCGAAAAATAGGAAGCATGGGCATCGGTAAGGTTCCCA